TTTTTTTTTTTTTTTTTAACTTTTATTATGATGAAACATATACAACAAGACTTTTGCCAACATAACAACTTCCCAATTTATAGCTCAGGGACATTGATGATATTTTTCATGTTGTACTACCATTATTGCTTCCTTTTCCAAAAATATTCCACCACCATTAGCATAAACTCAATGCCTCCTACCCCTGGTAACCACTAATAATCTTTGGTTTATATATATATTTTTTTTTTCTTTTTCCCAACCTATCTAGGAATTTAGCCTCCCTTCCCCTCCCATCCCTTTAACCAATAAAGAAAGTTTCCTTCTATGTATAAACCTTTCCTTGAGTTTTTACAAAAGTGGACTAATAAAATATTTGTCCTTCTGTGATTATTTCACTCAGTGTAATATTCTCCAAGTTCATCCACGTTATGCAGTGTGTTACAGATTCTGCATTATTCTTCAGGGTTGCATGTATTCCATTGCATGTATGTGTCACAGTTTGTTTATCCATTCCTCAGTTGATGAGCACTTAGGTTGGGTCCATCTCTTTGCTGTTGTGAATAGTGCTGCAATGAATATGATTATGCACGTATCTGTTCTTGTCCTGGCTCTCACCTCTTTAGGATATATACCTGGTAATGGGATTGCTGGATCCAGTGGTATTTGTATTTCTAACTTTTTAAGGAATTGCCATACCGATTTCCATAGTGTGTGTATCATTTTACAGTGCCACCAGCAGTGTATGAGAGTCCCAATCTCTCCACATCCTCACCAGCATTTGTTATTTTCTATCTTGTTGAACTTTGCTATTAATGCTGGGGTGAGATGGTATCTCATGGTTGTTTTGATTTGCATCTCTCTAATGACTAATGATGATGAACATTTTTTCTTCATGTGTTTGTTGGTTGCCTGAATATCTTCTTTGGTGAAGTATCCATTCATGTCTTCTGCCCGTTTTTTAATTGGTTTGTTTGTCTTTTTAATGTTGAGGTGCTGGAGTTTTCTATAAATTTGAGAGATAAGACCTTTGTCCAATATGTAATGGCTGAATATTTTCTCCCACTCTGTAGGTTCTCCTTTTACTCTTTTGGAGAAGCCTTTTGATGTACATAACAATTTAATTTTGAGAAGGTCCCAGTCATCTAGTTTATCTTCTGCTGTTTGCACGTCTTGGGTTGTGCTTGATAGTCTATTTGTGCCATAAATTAGGGCCCCTATGTTTTCTTTGATGAGTTTTATAGTTTCAGGTTTCACATTTAAGTCTTTGATCCTTCTGGAGTTAGTTTTTGTGTATAGTGTGAGGCATAGATCTTGTTTCATTTTTCAGCAAATGGACATCCAGTTTTGCCAGCACCATTTGTTAAAGAGACCATCTCTTCCCCTATTTGTTGGATTTAGGTCCTTTGTTAAAGATCAGCTGACCATAGGTCAAAGGATCTATTTCTGGGTTCTCAGTTCTGCTTCACTAGTACGTGTGTCTGTCATCATACCAATACCAGGCTGTTTTGACAACTGTGGCTGTGTAGTAGGTTTTGAGATCTGGGAGACCTCCTCCTTTGTTCTTCCTCAATAGTGTTTTGTTTATCCAAGGTCTCTTTCCTTTCCATAATGTATGCACTTTTATGGACACATAAAACTATATATATTTTTAAGCAATTGTTATGGACGGAATTTTGTACCCAAAAAATATATGTTGTAAATCCTAACCTGTATGCCTGTGGTTTTAATCCCATTTGGGAATGGGTTGTCTTTGTTAGGTTGATGAGACAGGATTAGTGTGGGGTGAGTTTTAAGTCATTCTCTTTTGAGATATAAAAGAGATTAAACAAGCAAGTAAGAGAAGAGATGGGCAAAAGGAGCCACCAAGCCACAGGATCACCCAAGAGCAGAAGTTCAAAAGAGACAAGGACTTTCCTTTAGAGCCTACAGAGAGAGAAAGCCTTCCCCTAGAGCTGGCACCCAGAAGTTGGACTTCTAGATTCCTGTGAGGAAATAAATTTATTTGGTTAAGCCATCCACTTCTAGTATTTCTATTATACCAGCACTAGATAACCAAGACAGTCATGTACATGTATTACTTTTCAAATAAACCCATTTTTTAAAAAGAAAAAACTTAACAAACTGTATTCTTGATTTGACTTCTTTAACAGGAGTGATCGGCACAGGAATTGCCCTATCTGTCGCCTACAGATGACTGGTGCGAATGAATCTTGGGTGGTGTCAGATGCACCCACTGAAGATGATATGGCTAACTATATTCTTAACATGGCTGACGAGGCAGGTCAACCCCATCGGCCATGACTTTTGGGTGAAGGTCATCTGTTGCTACTGTGGGCTGTAAACACTTTGGTCATGGGCGAAGAATGCAGGAATGTTGTAGCGTGGACACAAGAAAACTATTTTTCCCACCTTCTTATTTTTGCTATTCTGATAATTTGTTCCATTTCTTTTGATAAATTTTCCATGTCTTCCATTTGTGGTAAACTTAAAATTTGCTACTGTTTTAAACTATATTGTACTATTTTTTATCTGTTCTAATGTGTATTAGAACTAATTGCTCTATGAATCCTTTGCCAAGGTAATGTTAACATTTCCAGAAGCTTTTAAAGCACTACTATTTTTTAGGGCAAGTTCTGGAATATTTTTAGTTAGGTTTAAAATAAACTTTGAATATAAAAACGGATGTAGCCATCTGAGGGAAATTTTTTAATAACTAAAAATGTAGAGTACATCAAAGTGCATGTTACTACTTAAAACTAGTCTTTGTGCTGGAATCTAAGGAGTGTATATACGCCCCCTTGTGGTTAATTATTGCTCCTATAATATTTTTACTTGAAATAATCCAGTTATTTTATAACTTTAGTAGTGTGTTTTGGAACTACATACTTTTTAACTCAAAGTTTCCCCAGCAGGGGGCGGGGGGGGGTGTTGATTGGTTTCTCTTTGCCCTACAAAAAATTCCTGTTTTGCAAGAGGAATGTGAAGTTGGGCATGACCTTGCCTGTGAATGGATTTATGCCTGGGAATCTTGGTACTCTGGAAGTGCTTTCCCACAGCTGGGAAGCCATTCCAAATGGCTTTTGATAATGCTCACAGTTCTTGGAGTTTCAGAAGGGAATTTTTCTTCATCTCAGATCCTAAATTTTCTATTTCTAAATTATGATAAATCACTCAAAATTGGTTTTTGGGCATTTATTTTCTTAAGGCATCTTTCTGAGGTTTAAATTCCTTAATTAAGAAAGAAGAAAACAAGATATACATTTTTCACCATATATACATAAAACATCTCTGAAAATTAGATAATGTGGCTTTCTTACTGTTTCATTGTACTTCCTTTGAAATAGTCTAAAAGAGTAAACTAATAGAATTATGTCTTCAGTGGAATAGCAACCATTTTTTAAAATGTTGGCTTATAAAATTTTTGCTTAGCAAAATTTTTATTTTATATTAAACAATAGCATTGCAGCATATAATAAAACTGACATCTCCTTTTTAATATATTTTAACATTCCGGGAAGGTTTTCTGATCTATTATTGGCAAGTTGCCAATACTGCTATTTTTCCAAGTACTAAGGTATACAATTTTAAGTTGCTGCTTACTGATGACAGAATTTTTGGATCCTAGGATTTTAGTAGGCATACAAATTAATCTATTTCTAGGAAAAATGTCTGATGCAGGGTAGCTTGATTTTGCTTCCAGAATACTGAAGAGGGGAGTTACCAAGTGGCTAAATACTCACTATAGATTTTAAGCAAAGTATTGGCCTTCTATCACTGTCAACCTGGCTGGCAATGTGTGATCTTAGAAAGGCCCTTATAAAGTCAACCAGTTATAATACATATTAATGTACTGGTGATCTCAAGTGTATTAGAATTTAGTAAGAATATATTTGTTATGATGGGAGTTATTTTAAAGTTTTTTTTCCCAAAAAAAAAAGCTAATATTAAAGTCAGATTTGCATCTCCACCATGGATTCTTAATACTCCTTGTAACATATTTTGAAAAGCTTGGAAGGTGATTCTCTAAGATATTTTCCAGCTCTAAGATTTTAAATTGTCCTTTTGGAGTTTAATTGATTTTCTAATTTTAAAATGTTTCTGCAAATAAAGTTGCTTCACAGAGCTTTGGATCTTTCCAGGTACAGCCAATGATTTTATCCCCCAGAATCCTTCAGCTTTCAAGGAACTACTTAATAATGAGCTTAGTGACTTAATATTGCCAAAACCTTTGTATTTTACAATATGAACTCCAAGACACTGACTGATCTACTGTGAAATAGAAAATGTTTTTATTAGCCTTATCAATAACTGAGCAAGCACACAGTTCTAAGCTCACTCCATTAAACTGGGTGATAATTCTTTAAGTGTGAATGTTAAGTAGATTCTACTGTAATAACTAATGTTAAAAGTTGTAAATTTGTTCAAATGATGAAATGTATACTTTTTGTATTCTGTACAGCTTTGTCTTTTTTAAATCCCAAGTACTTAAATGCACTTAGATGTTAGGAAATGTAATGTGTGCCTTCTAGGATTTGTGAAATGGTTTTATGAACTCTAAGGAATTTGTTTTATAAGTTATAAGGTTTTTTATTATCCTAACTCAGTAACAAAGGGTTTGTTCATATAATAATGCTATAGAACTTTAGTTTGAGAAAATGAATTTGACTGTGTACTAAATTTGGATGTTAAAGAGTATCTGTTTAATCTTAGGACAAACTGATAAATTGTGCAATAAATAATCTTTAGCAAGTAAATTTTAACAAATTGAAGTTTTTTTCCTTATCATGTAAGTTCACATTCTTATATACTAAATGTCTGTATTCCTTCAAGGACTGTTTTATATTGTGCTTTGAGAGTTTGTGATGTTTGTGTGCATTGTTTAAAAAGCCATTTCAAATTGGATGCAGTCTCCTTATGCCTGATATATACCTGGGTAAGAAGGCTGCTTCGAGAATATTTTTGGTTCAGTGGAAATAAGAAACTACTTGGAGACTGGGAGGGAAATGAGCCGATCGTCCACATTTAGGATGGGCAACACAATGACAGTGTGATATCAGCTGTTGACAACAGACTTTTCATTAGTGTTCAGGTCCATTTAACCTACAGTAAATCATTGATAAAACAATGATTTTTACTGAAAAACAGTAAAAATCATTGATAAAATACTCCATCCTATGGAGTATTCCCAAAATATAAGAATATAATTAGAGAAGTATCTTAGAAGCTTAGTGCGGAGAAGAGATTGACCATTTCCAGTGGACATCATCATATGCACGTCATCATAAGGAAGCACACGTTTTAATATCAAAACGACATTGTATCAAAAGGCATAAAAGCCTTCTCAGAGGTTTTGATAATCTTGTGGCTGTTTATAGTCTTGCCTTGTCATCTTCTATCTTTCTAATAAAATATTTATTCTTTACAGGGTAAGAGTGCAGAGATTTCCAAGGAACCGTGTTTCGCTGATTTGTGTTCCTTTTAATGCAGTTAGTTCTTTGTAACTGTTCTTTGTGGCAGTCATAGGTCAGGTATAGAAGGTTTAGCTATATCACCAATATATTAGCTTTAGTTTTATCTACAAACCTAGTAAAAGATAAATAGTGTTTTACTAACATAGCACTCAGAAACAAGAGAAAGCTGGGGTTGGGGGGTGCTTGTTAACTTTGTTCTAATCTACAGTAAAAGGAAGCAAAGGCTCACTCAGGACAGTTGGCATTGACAGGTGCCAACCCTGGAGCCCTGGTTTGTTCATGAGGCAGAGAGCAATAATGTTGATCATTTCAGTAACACAGTTTGAAGTAACATATAAAGTGGGCCTTTTAAAATAAGTAAGAGGTGACAGGACTCAAATTCAAAAACTGTTCTTTTAGAAACCTGGACCAGTATATAATTGCTTTTGGTTCCAACTGCAAACACAAATGAAAGCAGGCATTCACTCCCAAAAAGGCCAATTACGTACAGCGACGTAAATAGCAAGTGTTGTAGAAAAAGATGTCCAAGAAGCTGGCTGGTCAGATAAAGTCCAACAAATGTCAGCTGGGCAGACCAAAATACTATCTAGGGAAAAGGAAATGATCATGTGTGGCTTTACGCATAAACTATAACAGGGCAGAGTTCAATAAAAATTAGATAGCAGAGCTTTATTTCTGGGTCAGAAGCTTCAGTTTGAAAAGTTAGTTATTCTAGTAAATCTCACCCATGTTTGAGTCTTAGTAAAAAATAAGTTGTTGTTGTTATGTGCCGTCGAGTCAAACCCGACTCATAGTGACCCCTCCTTGGGTTTCCGAGGCAGTATCACTACGGAAGTAGGATTGCCCAACCTTCCTTCCGAGGAGTGGCTGGTGGGTT